CGGCGCCCCGGCGCCCCGGGCCATGGCTTTTGCCAATTTCCGCCGCATCCTGCGCCTGTCTACCTTCGAGAAGAGAAAGTCCCGCGAATATGAGCACGTCCGCCGCGACCTGGACCCCAACGAGGTGTGGGAGATTGTGGGCGAGCTGGGCGACGGCGCCTTCGGCAAGGTTTACAAGGTGAGGGCGCTGAGGTGGGTGGCCGGACGCGCGTCGAGGGGCTCCGGAAGGAAGGGATGCCCGCCCGGGACCCGGCCAGCCTGGCTCCGGCTCCGAGGGCTGCCTGGCTCTGAACTCGGGGTCCCTGGCCCTCATGGTGGTGACTCTTGTTTTTTGGGGGGAACGTCACTCGGCCCGGCCGAGTCCCTGCGCTCTGGGCGCCCCCTCCGGGCATGGCTGCCGCCCCCACCTTAGCCCTGTTTCGGAGCACTTCCTGTGTGTCCTGCACTGCGCTCGGCGCCGCACGGGGAGACAAAGGGGCGCTGACAGTACCTCAGCATCCGAGAGGGCCACTCGAGGAACCTTCCAGGGACCTTCCGTAAAACGGCGATAGGGGCACACACTTTTTTTTTTTAAAGAGAGGCTATACAGATGCTGTGGGAATATCGAGGCGACGTGGACCGACAAACTCGGCTGCGCTTGGAAGGGTTGGGAGCTGGGGACACATCTGAAGATGAGCCAGAGACAGGGAAGTGGGGTGGGCGAGGGGTGGCCCCTGGAGTGAGAGGTGGGGCTTGGAAAGGTGGGTTGGGGCCAGGCAGAGGGGGAGGTCAGGATCTGGTGAATGCTGAGCCTCGGGGAACAGATTTGATTCCGTCGGTCTGAGTCACAGCTGGGGAGTCTCCCAGCCTGCAGTCACCTCTCCCCTAGAGGAAGACTCGGCAGAGAGCTTTTGTGGAGTGGGTGGGGCAGAGCTGATTTTGTCTAGAGAAGTGTGGCAGCAAGACGTTAGTTTCTGCTCCTGAGAGCTAATTTTGAGGTGCTGAGTTGTTTTAGGGAGCGAACACCTACAGCTTGACTCCCCCCTTTCCCCTAAGAAAATTTTTACTGGAGACTCCCTCTTGTTAAATTGGCGTATACCTCCAGGAGACCACTTCTCTCCTAAGCCACTATCCTCCTCCTTGGGGCTCCTGTAGCTTGTAGGCCACTCTGACCCTAGGATTGCCCTTCTATGAGGCTGGACCACAGAGAAGCCTTCCCCAGCCTTCTCCTCTGACTTGAAAGTAGTCTATCGCCTAGTTACCAGGGTAGTTCCTAGATGACCAGTGTTACAATAGCATCATTTGGGAGCTTGTTAGAAGTGAACAATCTCAGGCCCAACCCAGACCTGCTGAATTACAGTCTGCATTTTAATAAGATCCCAGGTGATCCCTAAGCAAATAGGTTTGAGAAGTACTGCCCTAGAGGCTTGGAGTGGTGGCAGTTTTTTCCTTTTTCTTCTTTTTTTTTGAGACAGGGTTTCCCTCTGTTGCCCAGTCTGGAGTGCAGTGGCACGATCTCGGTTCACTGCAACGTCTGCCTCCTGGTCTCAAGAGATTCTCCTGCCTCAGCCTCCCGAGTAGCTAGATCTACAGGTGCACACCACAACCCAGCTAATTTTTCTATTTTTTGTAGAGCTGGGTTTTTGCCACGTTGCCCAGGCTTGTCCTGAACTCCTGAGCTCATGAAGTCAGCTCGTTTCAGCCTCCCAAAGTGTTGGGATTACGGGCGTGAGTCATCCTGCCTGACCTGGAGCGGTGGCAATTTTGAGACCAACTAGGCCCACCTGGTGCCTCTTTTTTTTTTTTTTTTTCCTTTGCGACGGTGTCTCACTCTGTTTCCCAAGCTGGAGTGCAGTGGTTCGATCTTGGCCCTCACTGCAACCTTCACTTCCCGGGTTCAAGTGATTCTCCTACCTCAGCCTCCCGAATAGCTGGGATTACAGGCACATGCCACCACGCCTGGCTAATTTTTGTATTTTTAGTAGAGATGCGGTTTCACCATGTTGTCTAAGCTGGTCTTGAACTCCTGACCTCAAGTGATCCACCCATGTTGACCTCCCAAAGTGCTGGGATTATAGGCGTGAGCCACTGAGCCTGGCCTGGTGCCTCTTTTGTTACCTTACCACCTCTTCTCTGAGCCCACGCTTCCTGTTCGGGGTGGGGAGAGGTCTTGTGATCCGAGAGGCAGTGCTTTTGGACTGCCCGATTTGCTGACCTCCTTTGCCTGAGGGCCTTGCCCATATTTGAGGGCAGCTAGCTCACCCTCTCCTCAGCACATCTTTTCTTTATTCTCCTCAGAGCTGCATCTTCCTCCTAGTGGCACCCGAGAATGGTCCTCAGCCTTGCAGCTCTCCCTGGACACTGCCAGTGTTCTTGACTGTCTTAGAGCCTGCTCCTGCAGCTGTGTTCTGACTACCGTGAGGGCAGCTGGACCCTTGGTCAGCTCGCCACGGGACCCACTTTCTCCAGAAGGCTCAGTTGGTGTTTTTAGTGTATGCTTTTAAACATGGGTTTTTTGGGCCGGGTACGGTGGCTCACCCCTGTAATCCTAGCACGTTGGGAGGCCGAGGCGGGCGGATCACGAGTCAGGAGATTGAGACCATCCTGGCCAACATGATGAAACTCCGTCTCTACTAAAAATACAAAAATTGTCTGGGAATGGTGATGCGTACCTGTAATTCCAGCTACTCAGGAGGCTGAGGCAAGAGCATTGCTTGAACCCGGGAGGCGGAGATTGCAGTGAGCCGAGATACCACCACTGCACTCCAGCCTGGGCACAGAGTGAGACTCCATCTCAAAAACAAAACAACACAAAACAAACGTATGGGTTTTTTTTTTTTTCTCCGTTAGGGGCTTTCAATTGCATTCTTGTCCTGTTCCCTGCAATATATCCTGGCTTCACAGGGTTCATCTTCCTTTAAACTTAAATGCAGAACTTTGCTTTTGTGCTGGTAAGATTTTCTCTTGTCATTTTCAGTTGTGTTTCCTCCTGCTTTAGTTCCTTATAACTTCCCTGCTACTCTGAATGTTTCATACAAAGGAGCTCATCCGATTCACAATCTGTACTGTATCCTCTTGGTTCTCCAAAGCATGTGGAAAGTCAGTTTTTAAAAAAGTGACTCCAGGGCCAGGTGCTGTGGCTCACGCCTGTAATCCTAGCACTTCAGGAGGCCGAGGTGGGTGGATCACTTGAGGTTAGGAGTTTGAGACCAGCTGGGGCAACATGGCGAAACCCCATCTCTATTAAAAATGCAAAAATAAAAAATTAACCGGGTGTGGTGGCGCATGCCTATAAATCCCAGCTACTCGGGAGGCTGAGGCAGGAGAATTGCTTGAACCCGTGAGGCAGAGGTTGCAGTGAGCTGAGATCGTGCTACTGCACTCAAACCTGGGGGACAGAGGGAGACTCCGTCTCAAAAACGACAACAAAAAGTGACTTTAATTCTCTAAGTTGTGAGCTGGCTCCACCACAGCCCTCTCCTTCTACCTCTGAATCCACGATTTTCTCTTAATTAAGGGAGAGCCAGACCAAGAGAGTGGTGTGATGGCTGATAGACCTAACAGTCTATTCTGTTACTTTCTTGGCCTTAGCATGCTCTGACCTAAGCCAACCCTGTATGCCCTGGTGCCCAGAGAAGAGAAGGGACTAGAACCCAGGGCTCTGGGCTTCAGTTGAACGCGCTTTCCTTAGTCACCAGCTAAGGAAGACCCATCCTGGATCAGAGATCCCTGTCACTCAGGCTGCCTACTCAAGAGGTGCTGTTTACTCACCCCTCCTGCTTGAAGTCGAAGCGGGTATTGCTTTTACTAAAGACCCTTGTAGTCAAGGACCACGACTCCTGCCTACTTGGTTATTCCCTGGCCTGGTCACTGAAGTAACCCAAACCAAAAATTCCATCTTGGTTTTATGGCTGGAACCAGAGATTCCATTTTGACACAGCACCTGAGAAAGCAATTGGCAGGGCGCTGAGGAGGGACTGCCAGCAGCGCTGTTGTTCTTCTGACAGCCTAAGTGTTGAAGGCTTCCTGAGGTCTTTCTGGGCCTTGGAAGTCTGAATTTGTCAACGGTGTCAGGAGAGGACTCTCTGATTCCAGATTTCCTGATGAGTCTTCAAGTTAGCGGTCTCCGAGATATCAAACCTCTCTTTCCTCCTGTCCCTGATAAGCCTTAATAATCTGTCTGCCTCAGGAGAAAAAGAGGAGGATAGGATTGATTTTGTGCAAAGTCAAGCTCATTCTCACCCAATGCCTATGTGAATGCAAATTGGTTTCAAAAGAAAACCATTCCTACAAATTGGTTTCAAAAGAAAACCATTCCTAGTTAATTACTAGAATACAAAGCAGGCTGTAATCCCAGCACTTCTGGGAGGCCGAGGCTGGTGGATCACTTGACGTCAGGAGTTCAAGACCATCCTGGCCAACATGGTAAAACCCCATCTCTACTAAAAATACAAAAAATTAGCTGGGCCTGGTGGCACACGCCTGTAAGCCTGTAATCCCAGCTACTCGGGAGGCTGAGGCAGGAGAATTGCTTGAATCTGGGAGGCAGAGGTGGCAGAGAGCAGAGATTGTGCCACTGGCACTCCAGCCTGGACAACAGAGTGAGACTCTGTCTCAAAGAACAAAACAAAACAAAACAAAACAAAACAAAAAAATGAAGTAAAGTTAACAAGCTATATGGTTTCAAAATTCTTATCACTGCAAATCTTCATTTTGAAGAGGAGGTGCAAAGGGTAAAAGATGATAGGTTGAGTGGGAAAAGCTGACTTTAGCGGGGTGTGCTTGCTGTCATAGCAGCAGCAACACAGGTACTCATGCACCCGCTGTGGACAGGGAACATGGAGAAATGAAAGGAGTTGGGTTAGCAGGCTGAGATGATTTTTCTGCTTCTTTTTGTTTCTTTTTAGAGATAGTGTCTTAGTCTGTTGCAAGGATTGGAGTGCAGTGGGACCATCATTGCTCACTTCCGCCTCGAACTCCTGGGCTGAAGGGATCCTCCTGTCTTAGCCGCTAGAGTAGTTCGAACTACAGGCACACGCCACCACATCTGGCTAATTTTTAAATTTTTTGTAGAGATGGGGTCTCGCTCTGTTGTCCAGGTTGGTCTTGAACTCCTAGGCTCAAGTGATCCTCCTGCCTCAGCCATCCAAAGTGCTGGGATTATAGGCGTGAGCCACGGAGCCTGGTATCCTTCTTAAA